TTTTTAATTTAAGGAAGAAACCATTCCATTCTCAAAAGTTCTTTAAATTGCCTATAGTTTGTCTCTGAGGTCCTTGAAGAGTCTAGATGTCACAGCAGCTCCAACTCAGAGGCTGTTTAGTTAAACTGACTATGACACTCCCAGCCCCCAGGAGCACTGTGGGAGAGCAGAGAGGTGGCCCACAGGAATCCCTGACTTCCTTAGAAGGAAACCCAACACTCCCTGTTCTCCACAGGGTCCCTGGAGAGAAGGGCACATGCTCCTGGTGTGCTGCAGAGACTGGTATGGGGGTTTCAAGCTACTCTTGGGCTTCATTCCACCTTAAAGTCAGTGAGGTCCACAGAAAAAACAGAAGCTATTTTCAAGTGAGATTTGGGCATGTTTTCCAAACAGACAAAAGTAAAAGGGATTCTACCACGTAGTTTACAAGGCATGTGATGTTTCTGAACAAGTTGTCAAAGAATGTTATCCAAAACATTTGTAAGAAGTGATGGCTGTGGGAATAAGAAAAGGAGTCTAGGACATAATTTTGAGAAAATATAATCCCACCAAGGACTAAGGTTGAGAAATAAATTATGATTGAGATCATAGAGATATATCAGAACATGCACCTGTGACTCCTGGTGCCTAAGAGCACCGGGCACAGAAGCTTGAGGCTCCAAACTGTACCTGGAAACCTTTCTTGATGAAAGTAGAATCTTCCTGTGGTGTGCCTTTCTCACCTCCCACCCACTCTTTATCTTTCCAATCAGATTATGGAATCCTGACTCACTGAGGTTATCTACAGCCTCTCTATGGTCAAGTCCAGAGGCCTCCTTTCTTATTTTACTCGATTTTGTCCAGCATTCTCCCTTCTGTGTTAGTCAGTTCAGCTGCTATAGCAAATACAGTGTGGCTGGGTGGCTGAAATAACAATTTATTTCTCATAGATCTAAAATCAAGGTGTTGGTTGATCAAGGTCTGGGGAGGACCCACTTCCTAGTGTCCAGATATCTGTCTTCTCTATTATCCTTACATGGAGGAAAGAAGAGGACAGGAGAGGAGAGGAGAAGAGAGGAGAGGAGAGAGAGAGAGAGAGAAAGTGAGCAAATTTTTATGGGTCTCATCTTATAAACACATTAAATCTCATTCATTCTGGCTCTATCTGCATGACCTACTTACCTCCCACAGTCCCTAACTCTAAATACCATCACACTGGAGATTAAGCATCAACATGAATTTGGGAGGAGAGATACACATTAGTTTAGAGCAAAACCTAAACTCAATTTGGCACACAATTTAGCTATCCCCACCAAGTGAGTTGTTTAAGAAGGAAATTCTTATTCTTGTGAATTGAAACATTTCAGTGCTGTTTTTGAGTGAAGGGACAACAATCACATGCTATGCCCCTCTGCTGTGGCTTTTTTGATATGGCAACTTGGGTAAGCTACTTTATTCAGTCAAACAAGAACTTAGGTGTTGCTGTGAAGAAATTTTGCAGGTGTAATTCAAGTCTTGTATGAGCTGACTTTAGGTAAGGAAGATCATCCTGGCAATGTGAGTGGGCCTGACTAGTTTAGATGGAAGGCCTTAAAAAGCAGGGCTGACAATCTCACTAATGAACATAGA